ACGTGGAGGCCCATCTGCCAGTAGTGACGCGAGCAAGCAATTTCGGGCCTGCACCTTTACCTTGCGGTTAGATATTTGGCCAGTGCAAATCGCTGAGTTAAATGAAAGACCACCACTGCATTTTTAAAAATGTAACTAAAACTATTTAAACAAAAAAATGTTTTACCAGCTGAGACCCACTGAGCTGTACAGCTCTTTTTCAGAAACGACCTGGCCACAAATGACAGCTCAACGAAGTGGCTTATCACGTGGAAATGTATAGCAGCCAAATACTCTAAACACGTGACGTTGATTCTAAATGTGGTGGGAAAAACCGGAGGACCCAGGGAAAAGTTCACGCGATCACGGGGAGGGAGACACGAACACTCCAAATATACCGGCGTCAGGGTCGGGATCGAACCCACGCCCATCCTGTATATCGGGCGAGGGACCTGGCATTTCGCCACCCTGTTCGTCAAGGTCGAGTCGGCACGCGTGCAGGAATTGGGCTCTGCCTGGCCAGGCTGTTGGCGACAGCATCGGAGACCGGGCTGCGCAAAGAATCAACAATGGGCCCTATGGGCCCCTGAATGTCCATTAGGATTTTTTTTTTTTTGGGGGGGGGGGGAAGTGACCGCTGTGTTCCTGTTCCTCTGCTGGCTGCAAGCTCTAATAAAAGGCATCCAGCACTCTCTCGTACCCCGCTCCCATCTCTGCTCAATTTACCTGCTTTTGTTGTTAAGTGCTCTGACCTGATATATATATTTAATGTGTCTAAGAAATCCACGCTGAGTCGTAGGAATATTTTTTTCAGACGTTGTCCTGCATGTGGTTTATACTTTAAGATGTTTTCAGCCAATTAATAACGAGTGTTTATTCTACAGCGTGGGCGGAAGCCCATGCCTTGCGCGATTGGGTTACAGGCAGCAGTCACGCTTCATAGATTTGGTCCGTCTCTATGGCTCGGTGTAGAAACGTACAGTTGAATTAACTTTAACTTGTTAACTTGTCTTCTTTGGTTCTTTCGGTAAAGTCACGTAGAATGAAAATAAAATAATAAAATAACACAATAAAATTATCACGACGTTTCGGCCACAACGCAAGCGGCCGTCTTCAGGTGAAAGGTACAGAACTGTCGGGACGACAGAGCTTCAATGAACGATGTTAAGATTCGTAGCGACTTTTAAGCTGGTTGGGAGAAGTGAGGCACCTTGACAAAGGGGTTTACATATCAAATAGCTGAGGGATTAGCTTGTGACTGGTCACGGCAATGGCTATGTTAAAGTCAAAACCTACACATCCACAGAGGCAACTAGTAATTTAGCATTGAAATAGCTAAGGGATTAGCTTGTGACTGGTCACAGGAATAGATGTTAAAGTAAAGGCCTACACATCCACAGAGCTCTGTGGATGTGTAGGCCTTTACTTTAACATCTATTTCAGTCACAAGCTAATCCCTCAGCTATTTGATATGTAAACCCCTTTATCAAGGTGCCTCACTTCTCCCAACCAGCTTAAAAGTCGCTACGAATCTTAACATCGTTCATTGAAGCTCTGTCGTCCCGACAGTTCTGTACCTTTCACCTGAAGACGGCCGCTTGCGTTGTGGCCGAAACGTCGTGAGAATTTTATTGTGTTATTTTATTATTTTATTCCCATTCTACGTGACTTTACCGAAATAACCAAAGAAGATGAATCCTTGCAGTCACGAAAGCTTCAAATCGAAATTGTTAACTTGCCTTTTAAAAGCCTTGATGAGAGCCGGGAAACTCTAATCTGTAGTGCTGTTGAGTCCTACAAACTCACATCCCTGTCAACGCTCTCTCTACGCTAGCAAAGGTTTCCACTTTTGTTATGCGAATGATGCGCTCCTGTCCTCTTTCTTGTTAGAATGTCAGACATGTCTGGTGAGCCCCAGTCAGTTCGAAGCTCATGAATAAGCCCCTTTATGCTTGTGCATGAAGGAATACGCCGTCATACATCCCTCTGCATGGAAAAGTTTCGCCTCTGGCATGTTCCAATCAGAGCAGCACATCGAAGGCCCTTTAATGTCTCAAAGCGAACACAAAAGTTTATCGGGGTGATGGAAGAAAAAAAAACACCGTGGGCGTTGTAGGATGTCAGCCAGGCGCAAGGGGATTTCTAGGAATGTCAGCGGCCTGGTCGCAATCCAGCCCGATGGCGCACACACACACACACGGGCTCTGTCACGTTTTGCCGATGTTACGACGCGTTTAGCAAATTCACACTCCGATGGAGAGGACGGGAATGCCGTGAGCTATAACGTCTGGGTGGACGCAGCTTTCTGGTATCGAAGAGAACGCCTCTCCTGACGCAGCACACCTCGGTGGCGGGCACCCCCAGTGCAGTAGATTCATTGGAGGGTGGGAGGGGGGGTGGCGTGTCACAATGCATGGACTCATCGTTTAAAAGTGGACTCTTGGGCTCTCGGTACATCCATTGAATTGTGAGAAACTATTAATGTCGATTCGTACGCCTGTGGGGTGGAGTGGTGGCGCAGCGGTTGTCGCACTGTGCCACAAACTCCCACGACTTGGGTTTCATTGGCGGTCACGGCTGCTATAAGTGATGAGAGTTATCCGAATCATTCCTGCACCCCGCACAACCCCGCCTTCACGCTCACACATTAACCAGCGTGATGAAGTATATACAAACAACACCCACGACCTACGTGGTGCGTACCAGACCTTCGTCCAATAGTCGATTTACAAAGACCAGCAAATTATTATAATATCGGAATGCCGTAGTGTAATGGTTAGCATGCTCGATTGGCAATCCAGAGGACTTTGGTTCAGCCCAAATTCCGGGTGTAGCGGTTGAAACAACGGTGCGAGATTTTCAATTCCTGACCACCCCCCCCCCCCCCCCCCCCCCCCCTCAACGTTCTCTGTCCACCCGGTAGTACAAATGGGTCCGCACACCGGCTCGCCACGAGAGGGAGGTGCAACAAGTGGACTCGTCGCCATCTGTTATCCATCTGTACGGGGCTGGCGCATTGTCCCCTGCTGTGCGTGGGGTTTTTCCTATCCTCCGGGTGCTCCGGTGTCCCCTCACAAAGAACTCGTTCACTGGATGACAAAATACGAAGGTAAAACTCAAAGCAAGGAAGACCCTTCTGAAAAAAGGGACATACGATGCAAGCGTGGCTTTGCTGGCTAAACAAGTACATTGTCATATGAAACCTACATTATTAGAACTTATTATGAATGTAATTATTTTGGAGGGTCCTTTCCTCCCACAGCGGCAATGAGCAGCAATTACAGGGCTGCGCTTTTCCCTTCATACTGCGAGAAATAAAGTTTTGCTGGCTGGATTCCTGCCTCGCGGGCGACACGGTGGCGAAGGGTATTTAGAGGGTATTTGGCCCCTGATGTGATGCGAAGAGGTGGGAATACCCACACTTTACCCCACTCCACATGAAACGCCAATTGACTGTGTGGTGTTTGCGCTCCTGTACGCTGCTGGGTGGACCAGAAGGGAAACTTTACCCCGCTGTTTCGACGTTTCAGTTGTCGCGCCGGTAGATGGAATCGAAGCAATGCCCTTTCGGTTCGCCGAGGACAAGTGTGCTAACCAATCGCACCGTGACGGCAGACGTATTAATATCACGCGTCCAAATAAACACGCCTGGTGGCGCCCTCCATACTCGATCAGTCCGTACGCGAGTTAAGCGAATGGCTTTGACCTCCGAGTATCCCCCGCGTGTGATTTTCATTCCGAGTGACTCACTCTGCGAGCGAGCCAGCCAGCCAGCTTAGCGCCACGTGGGATGCACGTGAAACCGAATGCTGTATTTGCTCAGGGAACAGAGCCGAGCTGACCGGCAGCGGGTGAGTGGGCAGTGGACTCTTCAGTTTAACACACACAAAGCACACGGAGGACATATTTACCGTACAGTATATCATGACGTGAAAATTAATATCACATTCCTTTTTTTGTAATTAGGGGCCATGACGTCACGCAGCCTGGGGGGGAGGGGTCAGACATTTGTGACGATGTGTGACGAGGGGGGGGGGGGTTGAGAAATGTGACGTCACATCAAAATGCGCAACTTTACACATAGACAACACGTTCTACTTAATTTAACATACTGTTAATAAATGTTTTCTTCTACAACATCAGAGTGCAGTGCCACATTAAATACGCGCTACAATGACAATAGTTTAAAGCGATTTGAAGCATCTTTTAATTTCGGGGTGGGCCCAGAGCTTTGTGACGTCATATTTGAGAGGAGGGGGGGGGGTCTGACTTTTTGTGACGCCGTGTGACGAGAGGGGAGGGGGGGGTCAAAAATCGTCCAAAATCGCGTGACGTCATTTATGGACGCCTCCCTCCCCCCCCCCTTTGTAAAGAGAACAACGACACAAATCTGGAGACGGCGTTGCGCAGTCGCTGTGGTCACTTGGACGTGGCGATGACCTCTGTGGTCTCGGGCCGCCTGTGCGCGGACGAGAGTCGTAAGAACATGGAACACGTGGCCTCCTGGCCACCGTCACACCTCTGCGGATTCATACAAACAAATACAACTGCAGCCCAAAGACCTCTGTCATCCCACCCACCCCTCCCACCCCAAACGGCCAACACGGAGAAACACCCATGGCTACGCATGTGCTCGCTCCCATTAAAATCAAGCAGCGAAAACAACCCTCGTCTCCTAGGGGACATGGGGGGGGGGGGTGGTGGACAGGCGAACTGAGTCGGTCTACAGGGCGGGCGTCTTCACGCGCAGCCCCGGTGATGCAATCACCTCGGTGACGCTCCAAGCCGCCAGGTGTTGGTGCGCAGCTGGGCGTGGACACCCGTGGGGGTCGTGGCTCAACGTCGCCTGCTGTGGAGGGAGGGGGGGCCCGCCCGCCCGCCCGCACGATGGAACAGTGAGGACAGGTGGGAAGGAGGTGGGGTTGAGATGCGTGGGATGGGGGGGGGTGTGTGCAGGAGATGGTGGAGGGGGGGGGGGTGTGGTCGCGTGTCCCTTTAACCACGGCGCTCCGTCCCACAGGTGCCGTCAGAGTGCTTGGAGGTGCAGTGGAGCGCATCCTCGTGCAGGCTACGTTCTTCGTCGAGGTTCGCGTCGGCACGCGTGCGGGATCGCGGCTTTGTCTGGCCGGGCCAGTTGGCAAGAAAGCATCGGGAAAAGCGGCCGTGACCAGAATCAAAAATGCCTAAGCCGGTAAGTTGGAGACGTCTGTCTCTCCCCAGCTCAATGTTACGTGTATTTACTGTGAGTTATATTGTTTCTCGCAGTGTGTTTGTTCATAAACATCTCAACCCTCTACAAGTGGGTGTGTGTTTGTTAATTATATAGATTCAGCTGGTGGGATTTTTTTCTCTCTCAATTGTATCATGTTGAATATATATTACATGTGCTTGCGACATTGTATATTCATTTATATACTTCATATTATTTATTTTTCGTGCTTTGATTTATACTTTGCATTCCTATCGCTTTTTGTATTATAACTTTTTGACCCGCCGCTGCTGAATGTATGTTGAAAAAGAGCTTCATAGCTCATCGGATTTCTCCAGGATAAATAAAGATTCTGATTCTCTACATGGAGTCCGGATTATTAGAAACGCGTTAAAAAATGCTTACTTAGCAATGGGGAGGCGCTCATCCAACAGTGAATGTTGGTTTCAATATTTGTACAATGGCTGGTCAGAAAGTCACTAAACTGGTTAGACAATGTAGGCACCCCCCCTCCACCCCCCCTCTGTACTCCTGGTATGGAAGCTGAGAACATCGCTGTGCAATTTACTTTGACGAGAAAACGACGTGCGAGTCCAAACCACACTTTTAAAATTCTATTCTCAAAAAAAGCGTTCAAAACTTGTGTAAAGAAGTAAGCGCGCGTGTGAACAAATATTCAGAAGACTTGTTTTTCCACACAGCGTTTTCTCGCCACAAGGCACGCGGTCTAGAGCTGCGAGCCTTTTCGATGTTCATCGCAATAGGCGCCCGTGCGTTGAGAGCTTTTTAAAGTGGCCGCATTTTTGCAACAAAAAAAAACCCACTAAAATTGTTCGACAATAACATTTTACCTTTTCCACACATTCATATTCGTACCACCAATGTTTTGAAAGTGCGCACTTCTTTTTAAAATAAGTATTCCACTTATGCACCAACGATCACATTGAGCTTTGCTGCTTTATTATAACAGCGCGCGTACAATGTTGGGTACGTTCTGCAACAAAAAAAAACAGGTTCCCTTAATGATGTGTTTGACGAAGCATCTCATATTTGCACGGTGCACAGTCATGTACACTCCCGTATCATTTGTTCTACGGGCACACACATAAAACACGCAGATCTCCCTGATAACCATGCAGAACAATTGGGGCAAATGCTGTTAGCGAGCATCTATTAAGGCCAAGAGGGTTGTGTCCCCCAATGTTTATGTTAACACGCACACAGTGCACAAAGGCACTCTGTAAGCCTCAGTTGACCAACGGCCAGTGCAGCTAATTGCCACTATTGTCATCCGTGCTGCCAATTCATGGTTTGTTGCGCTAACCACTGCTCTGCCGCTCCCTTACACACCCACACACAAAAATAAAGTTAAATATTGTTGTTGCTTTTGCTCTACAATGGGGAAAGCTGTTTTAGCAAGCGGCAGTTATGCTGGCGCTGTGTTCCAAGGCCATGAACGGCCACAAAACCTGCACGGCCGCCTGCATCTGTTCAGCGCCGGTGTTGACTTGGTAATGTAAGGTCCGTCCGTGCCAGCTACGGACACCAATTTCCACTGAACTTGCAGGCTTTTCGGGTCGCCTTCCGAACGCTCACAAACACGCTCCCCTTGGGGCAAGGTTGATGTCGCTGCTGCTGCTATTTTGCCAAAACCTATGTTTCGTACGTGTCTCTCCTTAATAAAGTTGCAACATAACCGGTTGTCGGGCTTTTAACGAGTGCCAAGAACAACCCAACCCCGAGGCCGTATCGCGCGTCAATCCCTTTTTGGTTAAAAAAAGTGTAAAGTCGATCCGCGTTGCATCGCGTCTGGCAATTTACCTTTAAAAGAAAATACCGTGAGATCAAGAACGCCACTTTGGATTATTTTACTTTGAGCGTAGTGAAGTTTCATTCGCTCGCCCGAAGGGCCCTTTTACGTTTACGATGAGAGATACGTTTCCAGCGTACTAGAAAAAAACGTATTTCGCTGAAACTATGCGCCGAGGAGGAACAAAAGAACACGGGGGGGGGGGGGGGGGGGGGCTTTTGTTGTTGTTGTAAACGCAGTGGAAATCCACCGGATTCAGCAGTTGTCAAAAAATGGCATGGAATGTCTCGCCCCGCAGCGATGCGTCCCATAATTGGTGGTACGGGTCTCCAGATGGCCGTGTGTGCTTTCGCAGTGATTTTCAAACACTTTTAATTGAATAGTGAAATTTACAGCTGTCAAGCAGGTGCTCAATAATCGACTCACTTGGCTACACTATTCTGCCCACGTGCCTCCACTTGTTTATCGGTCATTTCTATTCGAATGAAATCTTTTCGCGGTCAACGACACCCACGTGTTGACTGAACAAACGTGAGATTTCAACAGTGACACATGAAGTGGGCAGCTCTTGAAAATCCATCCATGAGACTCCAGCTTAATTATCATAAGCGATAGCAATAATAATTTACAGCCCTTTGTCAATCCACTGTTGGATGAGGACCTCTCCCCACACCGCGTCAGCGATGAGGATCGTTTGGCCGTGCCTCGGTGAAGCTGAGCCAGAGTCAAACCATTTAATTCAGCTCATCCAGTGGTCGTCAGCCTGGATGAGCGGCTCTTCGAGGACTGCTTCGTGACTTTACTTATTAAGGACCCACCGTCTCTTATTCACGTCCATTGAGACTCTTGAAAATATTGAGGGGATGTTTTAGGTCTGGTTATTTTGATAGCCAATCGCTGCGCTAATCATTTAACATCTATTACTCACCTTGGAAATGTACAGGAGTATTTATTTTGTTCTTTTAAATATGCTTTTTGGGTAAAAGCGACAAATGTAATATGAACTTGCTCCGTGATGTGAATGATGTCAAGGGGGAACTTAGTTTCCACTCGCTAAAAATGCTGACAGTGCACTTTGAGCAGTCCTTGTGCAAGTTCAAAGTAAGCGTGGGGTTAGAAGGTTTCCGTGGCCAGGCACTTGTTAAAGACTTGTAGGGGATAAAGAGGTCCTCTCATGCCAGGCATCTCCAAATCGTGCCCCTTTGTGTCCTTTGCGATGAACAACGAACGAATCCAATAATAAGAATATGAATCCAATAATAGTTTTAAAGCCATGGAAACTTCATTTAAACTCCGTACACAAATTAGCTTAGCTGGGTGTTGAGCCATGGGTGGCAATGTCACGTTCCTATGACAGGGTCCAGTCCTTCTGTTACTGTAGTTTAAAACTGTACCTTTATGAGTGAGTTGAGAATACAACCACAGCACTGCTCAGCTGGAAAACAATAATAATAATCATGGTAATTATAGTAATTAATACATATATAGACTACCGCTGCGTCTGGATAGACACAATGCTTTCATCTGTTCGTGTTAATTTATGTGTTCATTAAATATTTGTGCATTCATTTCACTTGGTGCACAACTCTAATGATAATTGTGTACGCTCAGGGGTGAAGGCACTGAATTAAAGTATAAAACTCTGGACGCAGCACGAGATAACGCAGCCGTTTGCGCGCCGTGTTATGAACCTGGCGGCCTGAGTTCTATTCCTGGCCATGCCTGACATCATACTGTGGATAGTTATGTCGGAACTGTTCTTGGGCTGGCACGGTGAAAGTGTCGTTAAACAACCCCGTGACCAACAGCATGGAGATACCATCATCCAGCAGTGTATTATCAGAGATTTTATTAATATTCACTTGACACTCGTGAATCACAACCACCGTGTTGTAAATATCCTAAACTAGCCACTCTTTAAAAGCACGTGACATTTGGGGTGCATATCAACAAATGTATTAGCTCAAGAATGGGAGCACAAAAAAAAATTTTGATCACAAAAACAATGTATGAGCTAAAATACAGGTGAATTTGCAGCCCTGAAATGTCTCGCTCACGCCACGGCTGGCGTTAATGCCTCCACTAGAGGGAGTGCTAGCGGGGCTCTAGAGAGACCCTCTCCTGGTTATGGGGCCTGCTCTCCCATGCTGGCCAGATGGCTTTGAAGAGGTGGGTGAACCCACATTTTACCCCACCACAGGTGACCTGCCAATCGACTACCTGTGGTGGACCCGTTTATAGTGCTAGGTGGGCAGAGGCAAGGTGGTATTTAAGATGCTCGCACACTTATTTCAACTCCCATGCCAACGACCTCTGGATAGCAAGTCCAGTGTGGTGCTAACCAACATCGCCAAATACCGTCTGGTAAAATCTTCTCAGATCCCCTCTCAATTACGTTCATCGTTTGAAACTTAACTTTGCAGAAGTACAAACGTGTGACTTCTCTTTATGGATCGTGACATATTATAGGGTATTTGATATTTAAATGCAGTGTGAAAATAGGAACCAGAACCAACGTCTTTCATAAAAAAAAGATGTCTCACGTAACCATTTGTTTTACCTGTTCTTAATTGTGGCAGGTTTTACATCGGTCCGACATTTGTTTTGTGGCAGCTAATTTTAGTAGCCAAAACGCCCATCCAGTAATACCCCTGGCAAATAAAATACGGTAAATGCAAACAAAAACTGCACAACAATAATAATACGAAAATAATGCTATAATAATGCTCACATTGCAATAACTGTATGAGAAAATTAGAATAAAGATGACGTAGAGTGCTTCGAGAAATCCCCGCTGGATGAAGGCACAGTGTCAGGTAAGGTAAACATCTTTTTACCATAAATCACCATGCCGGTCACTGTGGGTTGGTGAGGGGTGTGTGACAGGGGTGTGTGACAGGACCAGTTGAGATACCACTCATTGTTAGCCACGGTCGATAATTATCAAAATCAAGTTTCAGGTCGCCGGGTTCAAAGCGGCATTATTTAAGTGGTTTAAAATTAACGTTTAAGCGACCTTGTTCTCAGCGACCATGCGACACTCATTCGGATTTGAGAAAGAAGGATTTCAAAGGGCACTCGCGTCGTTTAATAAAGGACATCAATGAATAATAGTCACGCGACATACAAAATGAAATGTATGGCACGTCAGTGGATACAATGAGCCCGTTTC